TACCTCCCCTGAAGGGCCTGCGGGAAGGGAAACGGGACCCCTGTCTGACCTGGAAATCCTGCTGTTGTCCACCCCTGGGCTGAGAGTACCGCTGAGGCCTGGACTGGAAGGAAGAGAAGTCAGAGCGAAAGGAATGGGCTCGAAAGGAGCTCTGCTGACGAGGATCAGATCTCCTCGATAAGGAGGGCAGAATCTTGCAATCATCCTTCGTCTCGATGAGAAGTGGATCCAAGGCTGAGCCGAAGAGATTGTTCCCCGAGAAGGGAGCCGATGCAAGCCTCCACTTGTTTCGGACATCCGCCTGCCACTGACGAAGCCAAAGAAGCCGTCGTGATGTGACTGAAGCCCCGATAGCCTTCGCTGAAAACCTGGCAGCATTCAGAGTGGCATCAGCAGAGAACTCAACAGCACTGAGGATCTTGTTGATGTCCTGGTGAGATCGTACATCAGAAGAAGGCAGCCGTTCCTGCAGTTGGCGAAGCCAAAGAATGGAAGCCCTGTTAAAAAAGGAAGCGGCCGAGGAGACCTGAATGGACCAAGCTGAGGCCTGGTGGTCCTTGACCAAGGAACGCTCAAACTTCTTGCCTTCAGGGCGCAGGGATTCCTCTGACGGGCCCATAAGAGGAGATGCAGAAGAGAGAGCCACAACAGGTGCATCTACAGAAGGAACTTGCAGGATGTTAGCAAAATCAGAAGCCATATTATAAAACCTTTTATCTAGACCATTAGGAACAGGACCAGAACTAGGAGAAGACCACTGTCTTTGGATCACATCAGAAAACAGCTTGGGAGCTGGAACCACCTCTGCACGAATGGAAGGTTCCTGAAATAATAATGATGAAGAGGGATGCTGAGATGAAGATGTAGAAGCCTCCCTTTGAGTGGAAGAAGCAGAAGAACTTCCCAGGCCAGTAACATTTTGAGCTTTATATAATAAGGATCTGAATAACTGAGGTTTGAAGAGCCCAATGAAGGAAGGCTGGTCTGGTTCCAGACCTTCATCATCAGAGAGATCTTGATCTGGGGCAATTTCCCCTTCAGATAGGGAACCTTGACTTGCATTTTCCTGGGAATCCACCCTTTCCTCACATTGCACAGGATCAGCAACAGCCTGGGCCCTCACAGAACGACTCTGCTGACTCACATAACTGGAGACCTCAGAAGAGGCCCTTTGCTGCAGGCCTTCAGCAATACCCTGCCTAATTGACACTGAAATAAGTTCAGCTAGGGCAGGAGTTAAACACAAAGGAGCCTCAGCCCCTTGATTGCTGGATTGAGCTGGAGCCTCAGGGGGTTCTTGCCTTGGAGGGGCTTGAATAGACACAATTGGAGATAGAGGCCTAGCAGCAGGAAATACAGAAGAAGCATCAGCAGCCACCTGCTCACCCAGAGTAGACTGATCAGGAGAAAAATCATGTTCAATTTGAATTTGAGAAGGGGGAACAGCCACATTGGAAGTGGGGAGGGCAGATGATTTAGAAGGCCCCACAGCAGGAGATGAAACTCTAGAGGCCTCTGAAGCAGCTTTTTGAAATGCCTTTTCCATGGCCTTATGCCTCCTGGTCTCTTCCCTTGATGATGCAGCAGGATTACCACTCTTGGAATGGGTGGATCTAGTAGAAACTCTGGCTGCCTTGGGAGGAACAGGGTCCCCTGAGGAACCTTCCTTAGGATCAGAAGTATGGCCCCTTTTTCCTTTGCTCTGGGATTTGTTGCCCCTAGCATCCACCATTTTGGAGCAGGTAATTGCTTTCACAGCTCAGAAATGAAGGCCAAAGGAGGGAAATCACCCTTAAAAATCCACCCACAGGGGATAATTGGTGGTTCAGGTAACTCACTGCGCCAGGAGAGAAGCAGGAAGAATCCAGAAGCTAGGATGGATAAACAGGAGGCTGGAAATGGCCGCTAGCCAAATGGCTTAAAGGCGCGGCAAAATTAGGCGCGGAAAAGCCTTCGCGCCACAAATCTGCAGCCACAATGCTCCAACAGCAGAAGGGGGCTAGGAAACCTCTCCAAACGCCCCAAAATTGCCGAAAATTGCTGTAAATAGGCGCGGCGGTGCTTATGCACGTGCGCGCTGCCGCGGGGCTGCTTGCAGCTGCCGGAACACTTCTAGCGCTCCCCAGCTGAATTCAATTAAGTTTAGCCGCTTTCTTGTAAAACGCCAGCAAATTGAGCAGAACAAAGCAAAAATAGGAAGAAATCAGCAAACAATGGCCAAAAAAGCTCTCCCACGTGGAGATTGAAGAGAGAGCTAAACAGGACGACTGTCCTCTACCGGACCGAGTCGAAAAACTGGATACAGGAAGAGGCGGGACTTCTTTCGTTGGTAGACTCGGTCCTAGGATTACTGGATAAGTCACATCCCTCATGTGACCGGCGTTTCCTCCGTGACCGAGAAAGATGCTACCAAGAAATAATCAGGCAACCGAGGCAGAAGCATCCAGTGGCTTAATGGTCAGGGAAAGAAACTTAGGAATTACATATCCTAATGGTTCAAACATTAAAAGGTCTCCTGTACTTTCAGACTTGCAAGATTTTGTTAATGTAGCTTTTAATATAATATAATTCTAGTCATACTTCATGTTTGGTTTATCTGGGAGAGCCGACATGAAGAGCCAGTCACTAGCTCTTCATTCTTTCCCATGGTTGTCAGCTTTCCTTTTTCCAGAGTGATCTTTAGTCCACTATTTCTCCCTCTGGAACTCTGCCACAGTAATTTTTTGCCAGAAAATGAAGCATTTCTGGCATGTTTAAAAGAAAACCTTAGAAAAGATTATTAGATGTTTACACATTTATAACAGAAAAGAAAGCACTAACGATAAGCAATGCAATCATTTGCTGTAGTTGCCCAATTATTTCTTTTCCAAGAGAACTATGGAAACAAATCTTGACAAACATATTCTTTTAACACCAGTTAAAGCTGTAATAGAAGTGCTAGTAGAGACGGTATTCTAATTGCCCTCTTAACTAGTCAAAGAGAGAAGCAACCTAGAGCTAAGGAGAAATTTCTTAACAGTGGGAACAATTAGCAATGGAACAGCTTCAGAAATTGTAGATCAGGGCTGTCAAACTCGTAGCCCAGATGCATCACGTGTTGGCCATGCCCACACCTGGTTTAGCGAAGGGGGAAGAAGTCGTGATACATCATGTGATGATGCCGTGAGGACGCGAGTTTGACATCCCTGTTGTAGATGCTCCATCCCTGGAGGCTTTTAAGAAGAGATTGGACAGCCACTTGTCTGGAATGATATAGGGTCTCCTGCTTGAGCAGGGGATTGGACTAGAAGATCTCTAAGATCCCTTCTAACGCTGTTATTCTGTTCTGTTATTATTGTTTTGGAATCTAAATCTCTGTTAATGGTGGAGCAAGGAATCAGAATCCAGAATCTGCAACTGGAGATCTGAGCAGAAATGTCGCAAATTTCTTCTTGCATATAACACTTCAGAACTAACTCAGCTTCAGCAAGAACCTGTCCAATAGGAAGATTTAAAGACATTATACAAATTAAAGAAGGGAAACAGGATTATTGGTGTTAAATAGCGCAAGATACAAGGTGCAGCATCTTAGCTCCTACAGAGAAATCTCTTTGTGAAGGAATTTCATAATACATGAAATCATACGAACAATACAATGTCACTAGATACAGCAATTCATAATATAAAAATCACATATACAGAAAGTGCAGAATTCTGTACTCCTGAGGCAAGAGAGGTCTGAATCATTTATAAGAGTCAACAATAGAGCACAGAGAAAACAATTTTGTTTTGATACCATGAACAATTTTGAAGAAAGTTATGGTGCTATGTTGGTTTTATACAAAACCTATCACAATAATCTTAATTTACGATTTACTGAGAACTAATACACAGTAAAAAACCCAATCCACAAATCCTATATTAGGAGTTTAAGAGACAGAAGGCAATTATGTCATTTATTTTGCCTAGACAAACATGAAGACGACAAACAATTCACAGGACACTTTTTTTTTATTCTAAACCATGATGCGATGCAATGAAACTTTAAAAACTGCCCCACCAATATACTATTGTTGTCTCACTTTTCTTAACTCCACCATTCCAAAAGGCCAACAGATTGGAGAAAGGATGCTATAGGTTGACATATTGGCTAAGCTGTTGTTTATTTGGCCAAGGTTTAGTGAATAAATCACAAATAACCAATACTCTGAGCCCGTGGTCCATGGTTTATAAACTACCACAGCTGGGTTTATACAATATATTAAGTCACACACAAAAAATATGCCTTTGCTTTTGTGTGCTGTGTGAACCCAGCCTTTGTTGGCTCTAGTTTTTCTCTATTCAGAAGTGTTGACAGCAGATTGCTGTTGTTCATTTTTCTTTAAAAAAAAAAGGAATTGACAGATGTGAACAAGGACAGAGACTAATATGCCTGAGTATTGCGGAATCAAGCACTTTTCTCCTTTTTATACAGCAAGCTGTTGAAATGTCTTTCTTTTTTTAGTTATGTGATGTGGGAATCCAACCAGTATCTTCTATTCCGCCCCCCCTTCAAAAAAAGCACTATTGTTTTTAACAAGCAAATAGTTCAGACAGCATATGGTCGTTTGTATGTGTTATTCTTCTGCTTATTTCCAAGTGTAATTATGTTCTAAACCTCATTTTTAAACTGAAAGTAATATTAGTTACTCAGAGCACACAGGCAAAGCAGCCCCTTCTGGGAAATACAGAAATGATAGAATTACACAGGTAAAAAAGTCTGCTGAAATACAGCAACAACGAGATTGTTCTCAAGCCAGCGCGGGAGTTTGTGAAAGACAACATCATTCTGGACAATGCTGCTAATCTGAAGCCTGAACTAAGAAGTACTGTGAGATCAATGCTTAATGAGGCAAATAGCGACATATGCCCACGAGTTCCTACTTTTAATTGGGAGGTTTTTTCACTAGACTTGTAGGCACAAGCAGCTTCCTTTGCCTGGGTCACCTTTAAGTGAGTGCAAGAATAGTAACAGCTTTTACCTGCGTCAACTGCTGGCAGCGTTAAATCAAACGCTTCATCTTTCCCAGGGTTCGGCTTCAATAGAAAGCTTTCAGGAGTTATGTCATCAGGTAAGTCCAGCAGGCTCCTTTCCTCAGATTGGGAACTTGAGGCTCTTTGGCTTTCATTCCGTTCCATCACTGAAGGAGAGACCAAAGAGTTTCGTTTTATTTTGAAATATCTATCTCATTTTCCAGGTTTGGTATCAAAGTGCTTGAATGCACTAACATCACAGATTAAAACAAATCACGCTGAAAACACTTCAACACAAAAAAGATTGCAGATATTTAACAAATCTGTAACTATAGGTTCAATATCTATTATCAAACCAAAGACTTACAAAACATTTTTTTAAGGATAACATCTTGAAAATCTGGTCTCACTATCCCAATTTAATTTCCCAATCACCACCACCAGTAGGATTTAACACTGAATTATTGTGTTCTAACACCTAAAATCATAGCAAATTTGTAGCTGGTCTAGTGGTTAAGACACTAGGCCAGAAATTGGAAGACCACAAGTTCAAGTCCCATCTTAGCCCAGCTAGGTGACTTTGGGCCAGTCACTCTCTCTCAGCCCAACTCGCCTCAGAAGATTGTTGCTTTGGGAAAATAGAAGGAGGAAAGAATACTGTGTGGGTTTCCCCCCTTGAATTATTTATAACCATAATGAAGGCAGTCTACAAACAGGCAAGCAAGCAAGCCACAAAGCCAATGATTTTTATGTTTGGAATATATCACTCGTATATTCGTTCTTGAAAATCTCAAAGCAATGATTTCCTGATCCCATTCAAGCATATGTTTTATGTTCAGCTAGGAAAATTACAACCCTTTAAGTATCAAAAACAGATATTTTGGCTGGAAACATATTCAGCCATCTCCATCTTACAGTTAATGAGGAAAATGCAATTTTATACCAAAGATCTTTTTAATTAGGAAGTCTAAAGATTGCATCCTAGGACTGAATACAAGCAAAGCAAGTTTTCTGCCACGAAGTCATGGAATGGCCAGCCCTAAGAGGAGGAAAAATCAAAAACCGAACAATAGATCTACCTATTCCACAATACCTGCTTTATGCCTCTGATTTGTTCTGCATCTGAGATGCAGCAGGTGAGACCCCCATTCTATCCCTATATTGTATTTCAGTACACACCTGTTTAGCTCTTTGAACATAAAATGGGAAAGGGGGGGGACATTTTTTACTCAGGCTCCATAATGGCCTGAACCAATTCTGACTATAGTTTGCCATTTAAATATCTTTCATTACTGTAGCAGCTTCTTAAGATGGGCAAAACATTCTACGAGATCTATATACAATGTGAATATGGAATCATGGTTTTCATGCAAAATTTTAGTCTTAAACTATTTAATAACATTAGATTTTTATTTCCAAGAGGGAGAGAAGTCAGCCTATTAACAAGCAAGCAATCAACCAATGGGTTGCAAAGATAAATCATTGATAGTTCCTGATCTCAGACTTATGAACAAAAAGACATAGCACAAGAGGAAAAGAGTATGGAGAAGAGGAAAATAATCTACTCAGGCATTAATTCTTAGTTATAAATATCATATGGGTGTTCGATCCAATAAGAAAGGATGAAATGAACTTTTTACAATGGCTCTTTTGTGATTAATGTAATTTTCTAAGTTAGTCTTCCCAGAAAGCCTATTCTAATTGCTACTCTAATTCATAATCTTAATTTGTTCCATGTATTTTTTTTTTTCTAAAATCAGTGTGAAATGTTGTGACCCCCCGGTGAGGTTTGGGAATGTGGGAAGAATAACTTCTTTATCATAAAACACAAGTCTTGTGGTGGCTTCCAATAAATTTATGACTACAAGGTGTGATGATTAACATGTAAAGCTTTTTAGGGCTTGGTACTTGGATACTGCAGGGTTACCTCCCTCAGGTAGAACCAACCAATCCAGTGTGTTTGTCCTGAGCCAGAAGGGTAAGAATCTCACAAAAGTGAAATTAGTGGAGAAGGAATCAAAACTCTTTGTTTGTTAGCTCATGCTCCAGCCTAATGGAGTGGCATTTCCTCAGAGATCCAGAAACCATCTTCTTTAAGGCTAATCAGGAAGTTACAACTGAACTTTCCAACCAGAGGAAAGTTTCAATATTTGGCTATTCTATGATTAAATATCAAAGGCAAAAAAAAAAAAAATCCCAGAGCATCTTTAAAGGAAACCAATTAAAAGTGCATCAGAGATAAAGCTTGATTACATCTAGCTAAATTTAAGCTAATCAAAAAAAAAAAAAAAAAAATCCCACAGGAAGTATTTAAGAAGGAAGGTTAAAAAGATTGTATAAGGAGAAGCAACAAATCCTTGGAACAAAATGTTTATTTTTATTTTATTAAACTTTATTGTATTAAATTTCCTACCACTAAAACCTAGTTGGAGCAGCAATTATCATCATTTGTGGGCAAAGGATTTCATGCAGCATGTCACCATGACTCTCATGGAGAGATATTTTAATGGCTGTCCTAAAAATACAGATCAAACCTTTACAGCTATCAACAGATGGTCTCATCAGATGAACATTGTTCTTTTTCCAGGAATACAGCTCTATTGCTAACAGTTTAGGATGTGTTCTTCTTGTGTATTACGTCTGAATTACTCACTTGTTTGGATAAGCAGGAATACAGTATATGGGTCCTCAGCACAATATGTGGAAATCTTCCTTTTCAACATTCTAGATTTTTCATTCTAATCTTCCCCTATGGACTCTGGATAATTCTGGTTTTCCACCTTCCTTTTATGGTTAGTATTCCATCACCAATGAGCATGTCTAGTTCCGAGTGGCCTATTCCTGAAAACACTCCAGCCAATGTTTCTTTCCCCTAAAGAACTACCCTTCTTGAGATAGTACTCCTCAGCCTACTGATTAGAAAATAGAATGGAATACTTTATTTGGCCAAGGATGATTAGACATACAAGGAATTTGTCTCTGGTGCAGAAGCTCTCAGGATACATGCAAAACAACAGAGTAATAATAATAATAATAATGATACCAATAAGAGAAGCTAGTAGAAAGATGAGAAGGATAATAATACAGTCATACCACATTGGTAAATATACTTAGACATAAGACGGTATGGTGGGAATTAGGTGTTCAGCAGAGTGATGGCACAATGGCATAGATGTCTCTGTGTCTAGTTGTTTTGGCATGCAATGCCCTATAATGATGTCCCGAGAGGAAGAATTGAAATGGTTTATGTCCAGGATGAGAGAGAGTAGATACTTTCTCAGCCTCTTTCTGACCTGTGCAATATGCAGGTCCTCAACAGAAGACAGGCTGGTTGCAACTGTTTTTTCTGCACTCCTAATTACCGTATCCATTGGGACTCTGTATCTATCCTGTTTGGTTGCTGGAACAAATCAGACAGTTATAGAAGTACAAATGGCGCATTCAATAGTTCCTCTATCAAGAAGAGTGCTTGAACCATTCTTAACTTTCTGAGCTGATGCAGGAAGAACATTCTTTGCTGTGTCTTTTTAATGATGGTTCTAATGTTAGGTGTCCATTTCAAATCCTGGGAGATTATAGAACCCAAAAAGTTGAAGGACTCTACTGTTGATACTGTGCTGTCTAATATAGTAAAAGGTAGAATAGGAGGGCTCCTCCTAAAATCTACTCTCATTTCTATAGTTTTAAGTGTGTTCAGCTCTAAATTTTTCTGGCTATATCATAGGGCCAGTTGTTCAATCTCCTGCCTATATGCAGACTCATCACCATCTCGAATGAGACCAGTGACTGTTGTATCTGTTGATTAGGCCTTAATTTATCATGTTGAGTAATTGTTGACTAGGCCTTAATTTATCATTTCATTTCAATACCACCAAATTTGTATAATTCTTGGCAGTTTACAATCCTAAGAATATAACAATGTTTAAAAGTCACAACAGAAATTCAACCCTATACCCTTAAATAGTGATAGACATCATACAGAGATATATTACAGGTAATTCTCAACTTATGACAATTGAGCTCAAAATTTCTGTTAAGTGAGACATTTGTTAAGTGAGTTTTGCCACATTTTATGACCTTTCTTGCCACAGTTAAGTGAATCACTGCAGTTAATTAGTTAGTAACCCAGTTAAGTGAATCTGGCTTCCACGTTGACTTTGCTTAGAAGAATTAACATTTCACTTCTACCCCCAAATGTACTGGAATACAGGTGACACATGGCTGTAACTACTTTTATCTGCCAGAATCAGGCTACTGCATTCCACTGCATTGTAGTTTTTAAGTAGTGTCCAAAAATGTGATGCAGTGGTCTTTCCTAGTATTGGTGAGAAAAAGTGCTGAACATATTTGAAAATCTTTATATGTAACTTTATATAGGAGACTTTACATTTCAATGCACTTTTAACTTGAAATTATGTGTTAATGTGATAAGCAATTCCAATATTGTACTCAAAATCTATTCTGTCACCAATTAGATTTTTTTTACAACTCTTATGACACTGATGTGTTTCCCACTCTTGTTATAGAAGGCTGCTGACTTACCCTTCTTCGCATGATACTCAGTAATTAACTTCATACTATCTGTTTACATATTACAGCAAGTTCTGGTTACCAGATCTACAGAGCAAAGGTGAGGTCAAAATCCTTGTAAGAACAACTTCCATATAAAAGAGCCTGGAAGAGGAAAAACTGAATTGTTCTTTCTGGATGAAGAAGGATACATTTTATGCTATGGCAAATGAACTTTCAGAAAGTGATTGAGATCTCATTTTTCAATGAGACACAAGTGTGCTGGAAAAAACAACTAATAAATTGTGCTCATTCAGGCCAAAAAGAATTTGGGTTTATCACAAGAATGAGATTAAAAGGGATATCAGGAATCCTAGATTTTAACAATTTTTAAAGCTTTAAGTTTTACCTAGTTTGTCATTTTTAATTTAAATGCATTACAAGGTTTGAATGCTGAAAGCATTTGTAAATAAATGCAATAAGCTAACAGACTTGTTTACATCCTGTCCATTTGCCCTTTCAATTATTTCTAGCCATTAAAGTAAATGGAACAGGAATAGAAGAAGCAAAGCAAGCAACAATTTAAAAAAACTCAGCCCAAATGTTTATCTGGGGTTAGCAAGCAGATGAGCTGGCAGAAGCCTAAATGAGAGTTGGT